CCAACACCTTTTCATGATAAAAATTAATTCCTGATTTCAAAACTTACTCAGCAAAATAGGAATAGAAGTTCTTCTATATGATAAAAGATATTTATCAAAAACCCGACAATTAACATTATACTCAATGATGAAGGCCCCAAAGCTTTCCCTCTATAATTTGGGGAACAAGATAAGGATGTCTGCTTTTACCACTGCTGTTCAACGTGGTACTGGATGTTCTAGCCAGAACAATTAGGCAAGAAAAAAAAAATTCAAATTAAAGACATTAATTCAAAATTACCTCTTTTCACACATGATCCTATATATGGATAATCTTATAAATAGAAAGTCCTAAAAAATCCACAAAAATTTATTAGAGCGAATGAATGAATTCAGCAAAGTTGCCACGGGTAAGATCAATTTACAAAATGCAGTTGTATTTTTGTACATTAGCAGTAAGCAAACCAAAAAAGAAATTGAGAATGCAATTACTTTTTATAGTAGCATCAAAAAGAGTAAAATATAGAGGAATAAATCTCACCAAGGAAGTATAAAACTTGTAAACTGAAATCCTTAAAACACTGAAATAAATTAGACTGAAGTAAATGGGAAGGTATTAATATATATGCATTGACAGACTTATTATTAAGCTGACAGTACTTCCCGAAAGGATTTGCAAAATCAATACAATCCTTTTCAAAATCCCAACTACTTTTTTGCAGAAATGGAAAAGCTGATTCTAAAATTTATATGGAATTTTAAGGGATCTGGAATAGTAAAAAACCATCTTAAAAAAGGAAAGCAAAGATGGAGGATTCACAGTTCTTTGCTTCAAATTCCACAATGCTATTAATACTTAGTGTCAAAAAATGTGTTATTAATAGGATGAGGGGACAAGCCACAGACTAGGAGAAAATATTTCTGAAAGATGTATCTGATAAAGGACTGTTATATAAATATACAAAGAACTCTGAAAACTCAATAATAAGAAAATGAACAACCCAATTAAAAATGGACAAACGACCTCATCAGGTACCTCAGCAGAGAACATAAAAAGATGACAAGCATAGAAAAGATGCTCCACATCATGTATCATTAGGGAATTGCAAATTTAAACAACACTGAGTTATCACTATGGTAGTGCCTTTCCCACTGCACCACGATGCAGATGCTTCTGCAGTTATTCATTTTCATCTATGTAACCTTTTAGGATTATTCTTGTCTTTGTTCTCCAGATATAATACTAACTTGTTTTACCACACCAATATAGCCATGTGATGTTTGCATTACAGCACACTTTAGCACATATCAAGTATATACTACTTGGATTTTAGATTTTTTTTAATTAAATTGTCCACTAAATCTTGTGATTTGGTGTCTTGCCTATACTGAGTCCTGAAAGACTATTTAGTTGGTGAATTGTTTCTAGCTGAAGAGAAGAAGGGTTTGTGGAGGAAGTTGATTTGAGTCCCCCCTTGCAGTATCTGTTAGTTGTTCAGTTGTGTCTGATTCTTTGAGACCCCCATAGACTATAGCCTGTCGGACTTCTCTGTCCATGAAATTCTTCAGGTAAGGAAACTGGAGTGGGTTGCCATTTCCTTCTCCAGGGGATCTTCCTGACCCAGGGATTGAACCTGGGTATCCTGCATTGTGGAAAGATTCTTTACTGTCTGCGCCACAAGGGAAGCCCAGAGGTTTCTGACATGTGCAGGAGGCAGTCATCAAGACCATCCTTAAGAAAAAGAAATGCAAAAAGGCAAAATGGTTGTCTGACAAGGCCTTACAAATAGCTGAGAAAAGAAGAGAAGCGAAAAGCAAAGGAGAAAAGGAAAGATACACCCATTTGAATGCAGAGTTCCAAAGAATAGCAAGGAGAGATAAGAAAGCCTTCCTCAGTGATCAATGCAAAGAAATAGAGGAAAACAATATAATGGGAAAGACTAGAGATCTCTTCGAGAAAATTAGAGATACCAAGGGAACTTTTCATGCAAAGAAGGGCTCAATAAAGGACAGAAATGGTATGGAACTAACAGAAGAAGAAGATAAGAAGAGGTGGCAAAAATACACAGAAAATCTGTACAAAAAAATTCTTCATGACCCAGATGATCACAATGCTGTGATCACTCACTCACCTGAAATTTGAAGTCAAGTGGGCCTTAGGAAGCATCACTATGAACGAAGCTAGCGGAGGTGATGAAATTTCAGTTGAGCTATTTCAAATCTTAAAAGATGATGCTGTGAAAGTGCTACGCTCAATATACCAGCAAATTTGGAAAACTCAGTAGTGGCCACAGGACTGGAAAAGGTCAGTTTTCATTCCAATCCCAAAGAAGGGCAATGCCAAAGAATGCTCAAACTACCGCACAGTTGCACTCATCTCACACGCTAGCAAAGTAATGCTTGAAATTCTCCAAGCCAGGCTTCACAGTTCGTGAACCATGAACTTCCAGATGTTCAAGTTGGATTTAGAAAAGGTAGAGGAACCAGAGATCAAATTGTCGACATCGTTGGATCATTGAAAAAGCAAGAAAGTTCCAGAAAAACATCTACTTCTGCTTTATTGACTACCCCAAAGCCTTTAACAGTGTGGATCACAACAAACTGTGGAAAATTCTTTAAGAGATGAGAATACCAGACCACCTGACCTGCCTCCTGAGAAATCTGCATGCAGGTCAAGAGGCCACAATTAAAACTGGACATGGGACAACAACTGGTTCCAAATCTGGAAAGTAGTACGTCAGGGCTGTATATTGTCACCCTGCTCATTTGACTTATATGCAGAGTACATCATGAGAAATGCTAGGCTGGATGAAGCACAAGCTGGAATCAAGATTGCCGGGAGAAATATCAATAACCTCAAATATGCAGATACCACCGTTATGGCAGAAAGCAAAGAAGAACTAAAGAGCCTCTTGATGAAAGGGAAAGAGAAGAGTAAAAAAGTTGGCTTAAAACTCAACATTCAGAAAACTAAGATCATGGCATCCAGTCCCATCACTTCATGGCAGATAGATGGGGAAGCAGTGAAAACAGTGACAGACTTTATTTTCTTGGGCTCCAAAATCACTGCAGATGGTAACTGCAGCCGTGAAATTAAAAGATGCTTACTTGGAAGAAATGTTATGACCAACCTAGATAGCATATTAAAAAGCAGAGACATTACTTTGTCAATGAATGTCCATCTAGTCAAAGCTATAGTTTTTCCACTAGTCATGTATGTATGTGAGACTTGGACTATAAAGAAAGCTGAGCACCAAAGAATTGATGCTTTTGAACTGTGGTGTTGGAGAAGACTCTTGAGAGTCCCTTGGACTGCAAGGAGATCCAACCAGTCCATCCTAAAGGAAATCAGTCCTGATTATTCATTGGAAGGACTGATGCTGAAGCTGAAACTCCAATACTTTGGCTCCCTGATGCGAGAACTGACTCATTTGAAAAGACTCTGATACTGGGAAAGAATGAAGGCGGGAGGAGAAGAGGACAATAAAGGATGAGATGGTTGGATGGCATCACCGTCTCAATGGACATGAGTTTGAGTAAACTCTGGGAGTTAGTGATGCACAGGGAGGCCTGGCGTGCTGCAGTCCATGGGGTTGCAGAGAGTCAGACACGACTGAGGGACAAATATTGTGGAATAATTGTGGAATATGAAGTATTTGTGGAATCCAACAGATGGAGGACATAAAGGTGGAAGAACTTATTAAGGAGCTAAGTCATAGTATAACTTCCAGTGCTATGCATTCAGTACATATATATTAAATTAAAATGCCTGAATGAGGATGTGGTAGTAGGAATGGAAACGTGAAACATTTCAGAAGCTGTGCTTCGTATTTGTAATACTGATCCTGGGTAAAGTCTCTAGCACTTGAAGATTTGGGTTAAAACACCACCACTGAAGAAACCCTGTACTTCCAAAGAATTTGAGATTGCAGTCTATTAGTTGTACTTACATTTTTTAAGGGAAGGAAACAGTTAACCTTTAAAAGAGAAGTGGGAGCATGAAATGAAACACCCAACTTGTCTTGGGTTTTGTTAATGAGCATGGTAATTATACTTATATTATCTGTCACTCCTGGAGGAGGAAATGGCAGCCCACTCCAGTATCCTTGCCTGGAGAATTCCTAGAGAGAGGAGCCTGGTGGGCTATATATATATAGTGCATGATGTCACAGTCAGACACTACTGCGCGAATTATGCTTATCTGTCACTAGATGGAGTCCATGAGTACAGGCAAATTTTGGATAGACTTTCTGTATATCTCTTCCTATGATTCCTGTTTTGTGCCTTTGAAGTAGAGAGGAATACTTTTTAAAAAAGATTGACAAGTAAGCTTGAATGGCAGAATTTTAGATTTGCCTTAAAAGAATAACCATTGGTTTGTAAAAAGCAAAATAATCTTTTCAATTCTTCATATCCTTATTCTCCAAATTTTTTTTGGGGGGGAAACAATCTGAAAAATTAGTTTAATATCAGTTCTAAGTCATTCTAGTATTAAGAGTGTTTTTAATATAATTCATTACTGAATGTGAATTTAAAAGTTAAATTGTTATCCTCTGAGTGCCCTCCCTCCACCCCCAAGAATTCTTGGTTTCAACCAGTTTCGCATTTCCCCCACCATAAGGTTTGTTTCAGATGGTAGTAAGAACAATTGTTACACTGCTTACCAAGTGTCAGTTTTTAAGCAAGCACAACAGGTGCCTGCATTTCTAAAACCTTACATGGCATAAAGCATTGTGAGAGAAAGGAACAGATAACTGTTAATAATTTTTCTTTTATCTAGGCTACCAAAAGATAAGAAGTCTGAGGCTGATGAGAGATAATAGTTACAAGCTTACTTTGCCAATTATTTCATGTTAGGACTAGGCAACATGTGGATGAATACATGAAGTGGTTGCAAAAAGTTACCTTGGGAGCTCTGTAGGCTCGAAAGATGATGTAGTTAAACTTGCTCAGTTAATCTGCACACAAGACAACATGTGGGCAGTGTATGATATAATTCCTTTTTTGTCTTTCTGCTACAGCACGTGCCCTTATAGTCGGCCTCCCTTTGGCTATGGAAATTTTCCAAGTTCAATGCCAGAATGCCTTGGTTATTATGAAGACAGGTACCAAAAACACGAGGCTATGTTTTCAGCTTTAAATAGAGACTATCCTTTTAGAGACTACCCAGATGAACGCGCTCACAGCGAAGATTCTCGAAGTTGTGAGAACATGGATGGGACTTCTTACTATAACAGTCATAGCCACAGTGGAGAAGAATACTTAAATCCCATGCCTCAGCTGGACGTTGGAGCCTTGGAGAATGTCTTCACAGCTCCGACATCAACTCCCTCTAGTATCCAGCAAGTCAATGTCACTGACAGTGATGAGGAGGAAGAAGAAAAAGTGCTCAGGAATTTATAATTTTAAAACAAATATGCACAGAAAATAAACATTTCTTAAAATATATTCTGGGTCACTTGGTGTGAGAAAAAAAAGCCTAGAATGCTTTGCTGAGAGTTTTCAGCCATGATTTGAGGAGTCAAAACCAAATGCAATTTATGCCTTCATAAAGTTTTGATTAGTGAAACTGGAGTCTGATGTTTCATCATAGGAATATTTAAGATATGAAGTAGTTTATTTTTATGGCTGAAATTTGCATCAGCATATATTATCATTACTTTATCTTGGAATGTGAAAAATACCAAATCCTCACAATTATATGTGAGAGGAAAGGGAGTGTATAATCTGTCATAAGTGTGATTTGTAGTTTATCTCAGGACGCCTTTATTTTTCTTTATATGATTTTTTTTGTTTGGTGTTTATGTAATACTTATGGATATTTCAGTTTTTGTGTAACATTTTGAAAATATTTTGATAACTTTTAGTAGTAAATTGGGACTCAGTTACTAAATTTAATTTGCACTAATAACCAATTATAAGTTGCAAATGTGTTTTAATGGAACATGAGTAATTCCTTCAGCTAAATTAGTCATTTCTGTTCCTAAACATTTTTATCATCTTTTTTGGATATATTTCCATTTGCTGTGCATTGTTCTACTTTTGTTATAATTAAATAAACATAGAGAAAATTGTTCTTGTTAGATATTTTCTGTTTAGGGGATAGAAATAAGCCAAATGAGTGTTTTTCCAATGAGAATGGTGTCCATACCATATGCATATATTTATTTTTACTTAATAGTCTCTAGAATCGTACAGATCCTGTTAGCTTACTTGAAGCTGCATCAGCGAAGATGGTGTGCACATATTCTGATGCCGTTTGCAAACTCTTTACAGATTGTACTATGACTTAAGCACTCCCCTCAGTGGAAGAGCTCTTCCAAATTTGGTTCAGGCAGTTGTCTTTAAAACCATAGAGTTTATTTAAGAGCACGTGGGATTTGTTTAATTCACAGTGAGCAAAATAATTCTGTTTGCAGTGTGACCTCTTGGTAAATACCCATTTATGAACAGAGAGAACCATATTAGAACTGGATCAGAACCACCAGAGTTGGGATCAGGGTAGAAAAGATCTATTAATACAAGACACAAAGTGAATTGATGATCAGATGTAACCACAAACCAATACACCTTTCCCTCAGTGATCGGTATGATTTATGCAAATTGAGATTTTTTTTTTTTTACTTAAAACTGCTTGGAAGTTGTGTATGGAAACCTGTTTTAAGCTTCCGACTTCTTCCTTTACTCAACCTGTATTTGTCCCTTAAGCAAAGGCTGTTAATGTAATATATTTCATCAACCATAGATTTATTGTATATAGCATTTCCTTTTCCCAATAAAATTTTTATTTTCATATTTTATATTCATTATTACTCTGTGCAGTGTTATGTGAATGTGGTTAAAGACCAAAACTTGAATTTCTTGGTAGAGAATGAACATGTAACTTCATGTTGGAACTGCAGCACATTTAATGTCTACGCCTGACAGATGTCTACACCATTGTATGTGAGTTTGAGCCATTTTATCCCATCTCATTTTAATAACACCTTAGATATCTAACTGGGTTTAGAGTAACTTACTCTTTTTTACTGATGTATAGCTCATTTACAATATTATACTAATTAGTATTAGATGTACAACAGTGATTCAGTGTTTTTATAGATCATGCTCCATTTAAAGTTATTATAAAATACTGGGTATATTCTTTGTTCTGTACACTACATCCAGTAGCTTATTTTATACATGGTAGTTTGTACCTCTTAACCCCCATTCCTATTTTGCCCCTCTGCCAATCCTTCTCCTCACTGGTAACCACTAGTTTGTTCTCAATATTTATGAGTCTGCTTCTGTTTTGCTATATTCATTTGTTTTATATTTTAGATCCCTCATGTAAGTGAAAACATACAGTATTTGTCTTTCTCTATTTGACTAATTTCATTAAGCATAGTAAGGAATTACCTGACACTCCAGTAGTTAGGAGTGTGGGCTTCCACTACAGGGGGCATGGATTTGATCCCTGATCAGGGAACTAAGATCCTGCATGCTGCATGGCACAGCCAAAAAAAAAAAAAAAGCATAATACTCTCCAGCTCCATCCATGTTGTTGCAAATGGCTAAATTTCATTCTTTTTTATGGCTGAGTAATATTCCATTTTGTGTGTGCTTGTATATCCTTATCCATTCATGTATTGATAGACACTTAGGTTGCATCTGTATCTTGGTATTGTAAATAATGTTGCTGTGAACATTGTGGTACATGTTTCTTTTCAAATTAATGTTTTCATTCTCTTTGGGTATATACCCAGGAGTGGAATTGCTGGGTCATATGGTGCCTCTATATTTAGTTTTTTGAGGAACCTTCATACTGTTTTCCACAGTGGCTTTACCAGTTTACATTTCTACCAATAATGTAGTATGTGCTAAATTGTTTTCAGTCATGTCTGACTCTTTGTGACCCCATGGATTGTAGCCTACCAGGCTTCTCTGTCCATGGGATTCTCCAGGCAAGAATACTGGAGTAGGTTGCCATTTCCTTCTCCAGGGGATCTCCCCGACCCAGGGATCAAACCCGCATTTCTTATGTCTCCTGCATTGGTAGGCAGTTTCTTTACCACTAGCGCCACCTGACTAGGGTTTCCTTTTCTGCACATCTGTGCTAACATTTGTTATTTGTAGACTTTTTGGTGGTAGCCATTCTGAGAGGTGTGGAACAGTATTTCCAACAGAACTTGTTACTACAAATTGGTTGAGGGAATGCCTTTGTAAGGCAGTGGAATAATATAGAACATGGTTCAGTATTTCCGAACTGTCTGTCTTTAGGTTAGTCCTGCACTGCAAATTCTAACCCCACAATCTTCATTTTAATGACTGTTGAGTCAGGGCAACCCTTTTTTAATCTTCTCCCTCCTCTTCCTTAATGCTGGGAACAGAAGTCAGTCAGATGGTTTATAGATCTACAGTATAATTTGGGCTGGGAAATATGGGTATCTCTTAGGTGAAACAATATCCAGTAGCAGTTAAGCATGTCTGGATACAAATGCCCATAGCTGTTCATTTATAGATCTTCAAACCCTTGTTAGCTCTGACTGGAGACCCTCTAAACTAAATGGAGTGCTGCCTCTGGAATGAATTCATTTGCCTCTCCAAGTTGTCAGAGTGAAATTCTCTAAGCTGGAAACCACAAGCGCATTCTAATAGATTTCGATGCCTTGTTCATTCCTATTATAAATTGGAGGGGCTTCTCTGGTGTTCGAGAGGTTAAAAATCCACTGTGCAATGCAAGGGGCACTGGTTCGATCCTGGTCCAGGAGGATCCCACATTCCATGGAGCAACCAAGCCCATGCACCAACCTACTGAAGCCTGCACACCTAGAGCTCGTTCTCTGCCACAGAGAAGCCACTGCAGTGAGAAGCCCATGCGTCACAACTAGAGAGTAGCCCCTGCCTGCTTCTCAAAAATCTTGCCATGAAGAAATATGTTTACCTCAGTTTATTTTGTGCTTTTCCACCTTAGCTTGAGTATACTTTTTTCTATTTGTTTTTTTTTTTTAACATAATGTCTACTAACAGAATCCACTCTGGAAAATGCTACTTATAGTTGCTTGCTTCAGTTTTCAATTGCTGGCTTCCAATTTGGTTTTCTGCATAAACTGGGAAAATCCTTAAGTCCTTTACTGAAAGAAGGTTGTGGCTCATTAAACTGTTTTCTGCATTAAGTGTCTGATGGTCTTAAAAGATTGAAGAGCTGAAACTTAGAGTTGTTTTAAATTTCAGTTGTCCACTAAACTGGCTTTTTAATGAAAGTTGATACTGCATCCAAAGCTTCAAGTGGACAAATGTATTAAATTCCCATATAAGTATACTTTTCACAGTGAAAACCAGCTGTCAGAAGGATTATTTCTGAGCCAAAAATACAAGTACTTTTGAAAGTACTAGTTTGGAACTTTTATCATTTGATTTCAAAATGAAGTTCTGGGGATTCTATGCACAACTTGCAGTATCTTAAAGAGATATAATTTTGAGGTGAACAGTGTTAGTTTGAAAAAATCTGGCCTCTGTGTTAGGATCGATTCTACTGAGGAACATCCCTTTCCAGCGTTCTGAATCATCTGAATTTAGATGATTTAGGATTTTAGATTCCAAGGGCTTCAAGTATAAAACTACTTTTCTTGTAAGCAAGTTACTTTCTAGTTCTACTTAATGAGAAGTTCCACATTCTCTAGACAGATTCACCCTTTATCTCTACCTTCTTCCTTCTAACTGCCTGACCTAACCCTACATGTTTTCTTTCTGATGCATAACACATAGGAATCTTAGTTAACTTTTCACTAAATGATGAATGCTTGCAGGAAAAGCAGGGAGATGGAGATGTAGAAGGAGAACTGTTTGGTATACTTTTATACCTCTGGCTCCTCTGAAACCACTTCAGGAAATGTTTTGTTTCTAAAAAATAATGAACAGCATCTTATATGTATTGTTTTTTCAAAGGAAGAGCTTCCAAAAGCTATGTTTTCGCCTGTATTACATTGGACACGTCTGTGGAGGCTGATAACCTCTCCTGGAAAGGATCTTTTCTTTTAAGTTGTGGATAATCACTTGGGTCACAGCAGTGGAAATGTATAGGATGACCAACGGTCCTGGTTTGCTCAGAACTGAGGGGCAAGTTTGAGGGGGAGGGGAGGATCTAGGACCAGTGCTAAAACCAGGGAATTCCTGAGCAAATTGAGATAAGCTGATCATTCTAATGATTAAAGTGAATATTGGATCATCTGGATCTATGTAGATCTACACTTAACGCCTGTTGTGCTACGCAGTTGTAGAGTTTGAAATCACTGAGCTTCACTCACAAAAGCAGATTATAGCTGAACTTGTGTCAGGCCTATTCGAAAGGCGTGGGGTAAGTGCCAGGATGCATACAGCCTGTAAGAGAACTGTAGACACATAGCTATTAGTATCTGGGGTGCTTTTATCAGACAGCTTCAACCTTACAGGAAGACAAAAATGATCAAAGCTGTACCTTTTAGTGATATTTCACTTTATAAACCAGAGAGTGAAAGCATTTTTGTGAATATGGAGTTTTAAAGTTTTTTACCATTTCCCCAAGAATGACAGTGGAATGTTGGCCACAGTCTTTTGTTGTTGCTCAGTTGCTCAGTTGTGTATGACTCTTGGTGACCCCATGGACTGCAGCACGCCAAGCTTCCCTGTCCTTCATCGTCTCCCAGAGCTTGCTCAAACTCATGTCCATTGAGTCGGTGATGCCATCCAACCATCTCATCCTCTGTCGTTCCCTTCTCCTCCTGCCTTCAATCTTTCCCAGCGTAAGGAACTTTTGCCCCTCTGTCCATGAAATTCTGCAGACAATAATACTGGACTGAGTAGCCATTCCCTTCTCCAGGGGATCTTCCTGACCCAGGGATTGAACCCAGGTCTCCTGCATTGCATGCAGATTCTTTACCATCTAAGCCAGCAGGAAAGCACCCTCCAGAGTCTTTAGTACAATGCTGCTTCCAACAAAATAATCTGGGATCCTTGTTAAAATTGCAGCCATTCCCTGTATCTATAGAATCAGAATTTCTCTGGCTAGAACCTGGGAATATTCATTTTTAATAAGCTCTTCAAGTTATTCTTAAGCACTCTTACCTTTGACACCATGTAAAGTTTGCAAGGCATTTAAAATTTTGCCATGAAAACAATGTAACTGCTAAAGGGAATTTTCAGAGAAGAAAACATCTGTGATCCATCCAATAATTGTTTTTATTTTATGATGGTCTTTCTATATTTGCCCATATACACACATTTTCACACAATTGTAATCACAACACATACACAATTTTGCATATGCACAAATTTGCATTTCCTCAATATTTTATCATGAGCTGTTTTTCATACTGTATAGCTTCATAAATGATGACCTTTCATGTTTGCATAATATTGCTTCAGACAGATATGCCATAATCACATGAAAGGGTTAGGATTGCAGTCTCATTCCTAGATTGGACTTTAGGTGACAATGCGAAAGATATTGAACAGAGCACATGGAAAGAAAAGTGCTGCACTATGACCCTTCCCACAAAGGAAACACAACAGTACCTCTTTCTGGACAATTTTTGCAGCCTCCCGTTTTAATTGCTAATCATTCTTCATATCTCAGTTTAGATATCCGTCAGTTTTCTCCTAATGACCGCTTTTCTTTTCTTTTAAAGTAATAGAACCCTGTAGTTTTAGCTATGTTTCATCTCTTGAAGCAAGGTGTGGTGTCAAGTACCTAAGGTTCTTGACTATAAGATGTCAATGGAACTTTCATATGCAACTTCCATAAAATACCCTCAGAGAGGTTAGCCCTTTCTTTGTCCCTTTATCCTTTCTACTGGCAGGAATATGCAAGTGATGGCTGGAATCTGAGTAGCCATTTTGGACCACAGAGACCTCATGCTGAGGTTGGTAGAAAAACAAGAGAGAAGTAAAAACACCATACCAGCACGTAATTACTTTCCTCAAGGCTTTTATGTGAGGTAAAAGTAAATTTTAGCTAGTTTAATCCACTGTAATTTTGTGTTTTGTATCACATGCTGCTGGACCAAATTCTAGCTCATTCAGAATACTTCCACTCCAGAAAGCTTTCTCTAATCCTCAAAGACTACGTTAGTTGTTCCTGCTTTATACGACGCCTTTATTTATATCTCCCACTACATTCTAAGTTCCTTGAGAGCCAACGAGAGCAAATATTCTAGAAACTAGAAAAATAAATACATGATGGCCAATAGTATAACAAACACAGTCCTGTATTCACAGCTTTGTATTCATGCAAGCATTTTTCTAAGTGGACATGATAGAGCAACTTTACTCTTTTTGTAGAAAGTGTTTCTCTAAGAATGTAGCTGTGGAGCCACCGTGGCCATGGTCTCTTTATTTGGGTAAAGCCCATCTTTTGTAGAAGCACATGATGCCAACAGGGAAGTAGAGACAGGATGACATAGAGAGAACCCACACTCAGTTTTTGGTTCCCTTCACTACAGAGCACAACCTCACACCTGCACTGCTCCTTGAGCCAGTTAGCTAGTTCAAGCTTTTTTTTTTTTTTTTCCGCTGTGGTAGTAGGTTTCTACATTTTGCAAATTAGTCTGCACAAACATGGGGACATATAAAAAGGCACCTTTGTGGGATGCAAGGAGCCATCTAACATCTTGAAACCCAGGGAATACTTTTTTTTTTTTTTTTTTTTTTTTTTTTTTTTTAGGTAACATATTTAAAGCATGTGTGTAACATTTTTAAATGATTTAACTGCTTATACCAACTGATTTTGATTAACTGACCAGTTACAAATGCTGATGTATCAGATAAGACAGTTGACATTGCACAGTTTTTACCTCTAGTGATGCCATAGAGACTAGTGTTTAAGAATTGCTATCCATTTTGGGATCAGGCATAATTGGGGAAGAGGCCTGGGTTTGTCACTTTGGAGCTATGTTACACTGGGCAAGTAACTTCACCTCTTTGAAACCTCAGTTTTCTGAACAATAAAAATAATAATTGTTTCTTAAATAATAACAATAAAATAATAATTGTCTCATAGGATTATTGTTGAGGATTAATGACTATACTCAGTGTTGTACATGCTCAATCAGTCATGTCCAATTCTTTATGACCCCATGGACTGTAGCACATCAGGCTTCTCTGTCCATCGGATTTTCCAGGCAAGAATACTGGAGTGGATTACCATTTCCTCCTTCAGGGGATCTTCCTGACTCAGGGATTGAACCCATGTCTCCTGCATTGGCAGGCAGATTCTTTACCACTATGCCACCTGGGAAGCCCATATACAGTGCTGGGTGCATATTATTAGCAGCAGTTGTGTCTTGATGTTTCCCTCTTGTGTTTTTAGCAACAACACACAGCACCCCCTCCCCATTCTATCATGTCTCTGGGACATCCGTCTTAAAACCTCCAAATTACTGTCATGAGGCCAACTTGGAAAAAATGACTGGGAGAGAAATTAGTTTTATGTTACTCAAGTGTTCACCTGCCCTCAGTGTTTAGCTTTTCTTTTTCCTTAAGATGTGATGATATTGTTAGGAGGGGACCAGCCACTTACCACCTCCTCATATTTGTATAAAGCCTTTCAGTACACTTGGATCTCTCCTTTGAGCACATGAAAAGCATAAGTTAAAGCTGAAGAAACTGAGACTCAGTGAGGAGCAATTGACTTGTCCCACATCAAGGAGCTCCATTCAAGAGCAGAAATCAAGTCTACCAGGGAATGGTTCAACCTCATACAGAGATAGAATACATAAATTGGTAGTTATGATGTTTTCAAGCATTTTCTTGAAATGTCTGTATTATTATGATTTATATCAAAAATACAGAGTTTGTTTTTGTCTCTGGCACAGAGCTTATAAAACTCTTGGAGTTTCCAAAGTGATCAGAGCACTAGGAATATCTTTTGGTCTAGTAGTTGGTCTTTGACCCTGGTTCCTGATATGGGGTTCCTGAAACCCTTGTAGTTTCCTGAGTGATAGGAGTATCTTTGCTCTGTTAACGTGACTCTGTGTGGGTTCCTGGATGATTCCTGGGTGAGGGCTGGTCAACCAGAAAGACCAAGCCACGATTAGAGGCTTGGAGCTTTCAGCTCCACCCCTGATTGTCTTGAGAAGTGAGAAGGGCTGAAAATGGAGTTATTGATCTATCATGCCTCTGTAATAAAGCCTCCATAAAAAATCCCCAAAGTTTAGAGAGCTTCCAGGTTGGTGGATACATGGAGCTTCTTGGAGAGGAGCATGCCTTGAGAGGAGGTGGGAGTTCTAGCCTCTTTCCCTCATACCTTGCCTTGTTGCATGTCTTCATCTGGATGGTCCTGATGTATCATTTTATAATAAACTGGTAATCTAATAAGTAGCATGTTTCTCTGAGTTCAGTGAGCCACTCTAGCAAATTGGCTGAACCTTAGGAGAGGGTAACTGGAAAGTTTCAGTCCATAGCTGGTCAGTCAGAAGCACAAGTGGTAACCTTGGCTTAAGACTGGCATCTGGCTTTTTCCGGTAAGCGGCCTGAGCTGACCCTTGAAAATGGTGCGCTATTCACTCGACCCAGAAAACCCCACAAGATCATGCAAATCAAGAGGTTCAAATCTTCATGTTCACTTTAAGAACACTCATGAGACTGCCCAGGCCATAAAGGGTATGCATATCCGAAAAGCCACCAAGTATCTGAAGGATGTCACTTTAAAGAAGCAATGTGTGCCATTCCGTCGTTACAATGGTGGAGTTGGTAGGTGTGCACAGGCCAAACAGTGGGGCTGGATGCAGGGTCGGTGGCCCAAAAAGAGTGCTGAATTTTTACTACATATGCTCAAAAATGCAGAGAGTAATGCTGAACTTAAGGGCTTAGATGTAGATTCTCTGGTCATTGAGCACATCCAAGTGAACAAAGCCCCCAAGATGCGGCGCAGGACTTCCAGAGCTCACGGTCGGATCAACCCCTACATGAGCTCTCTCTGCCACATTGAGATGATCCTTACTGAAAAAGAACAGATTGTTCCTAAACCAGAAGAGGAGGTTGCACAGAAGAAAAAGATATCCCAGAAGAAACTGAAAAAACAAAAACTTATGGCCCGGGAATAAATGCCGCAGAAAATAAATGCAAATAAAAGTAAAAAAAAAAAAAAAAGACTGGCATCTGAAGTAGGGTGGAAACACTTTTGTGAGACTGACCTCTTCACCTGTGGGATCTGATGTTACCTCAGGTAGATGGTGTCAGAATTCAGTTACACTGTAGGATACACAGCTGGTGTCATGGAGAATACCTGTTGGTGGTGTGGGCAACACCACCACCCCACTCCACACTGAAGGTGGTAATCAGTGCCCTAAAATAAAGCTGATATTTCTTTGTTCTAAATTTCTTTCTATAACAAATTTTACTCTTTTCAGTGAATTAGGAAAACACAAGAAGGCTCCAAATCCTAGGACTATCTTTCTATAACTTTTCTGTGCAAATTTAATTATGCATATATTTTTTTCTTGTTCAGTTGCTCAGTTGTGTCCAACTCTTAGTGACCCCATGGACTGCAGTACAGCACATCAGGTTCCCCTGAGATATAAAATTCGAAATATTTTTTTCTAATTTTAAATATATTCATTGTTATTTTATGCTTATAAGAATAATGATTATTGTAAAAATATATAGCAGTGAACATACTAAAAAGTATAAATCACTGTATTCAGTCACTCAGCATTAATCATAGTTTATCAGTCATTTTGGTTCATATAATTTTGCAGACTTTTCCAACATATACATAGTTATAAAAATGAGATAATAATGGGACTTAAGATGCAACCCCCTCTTTTATGTAATATGCCATTAACATTTCCATGATACTAGATTTCCTCTACAACATTTTTATAAAGTTAATATTATGAAAATTTTCAAACTGTATAAAAGAGCATAAATACTATTATAAATTTTATACACCTATCCCTCATATTCAATAATCACCAATTCTGTAATTCTTATTCTCCTCTGCCATGGAGTTTTAAAAAACAAATTGCAAATATTTTATCCATAAACATTTCAGTACTAAAAGATTGGGACTCTTAAAAAAAACAACAAAATTGCGATCATTCATTAATATCACACGCCCACAGTGTTCACCTTCTCCAATTGTCTCATAAATGACCTTTTTTTAAAAAAAAAAAAATTGTATATCTGAGGAAAGGATTCAGGATTCAAGGAAAGTCTACCCATTGCATTTGGTTCACATATATCCTAAGTCTTTTTCTCTGTATGTCCCCATTTGGTTTTTTTTTTTCTTGTTGGAGAATAGACTAGGTTTGTGTAGAATACTTACATTCTGAATTCTCCTGATTGCATTGACTTGCTGTCATTTAACATATTTCTCTGCCTTCTGAATTTTCTATAAGTTGGTGATTAGATCTCAAGGTTTGATCAGGTTTGAACTTCTTGGTGGTGTGTTATATTTCTATAAGGAAGTGCTAATCTAGAATACATTTTTAATGGTTTACTTGTATAGGTATAATCTCTTTAACCAATCCCTTTCTTTTGGAATTGAAATTATTTCTGACATGTATTGTGATTACCAACACTGAGAGTACAACAAATTATTTTCTTTAGAATAGATTTCCTGTAAGTAAATTCAGTGCCAGAGCTTTAAAAGTATGATCTTGTAAAAGTTTCCATGATGTTAAAATTTTAAGAGGCTCTCTTGGTTCCTCTTAAAATGAAGGTCCTTTCAAGGGCCTTTCAAGGACCCTATGGTCCTTGTACCCCATGTCCTCAGCCTGCTTTCTTGGAAAAAGTTTAGCCAAAGAATAAGTTTTAATCATAGTAGTCATTTTAATGACTTTTCCATAGAAAATGCAAAAACAAAGGAAAACAGTCAAAGGAGACCAAATAATAATAGTTTAGTCATTAAGCATAATCAAGGATATTTAGTTCCTTCTTAAGTGAAAGTGAAAGTCACTCAGTCGTGTCTGACTCTTTGAAACCCCATGGGCTATACAGTCCATGGAATTCTTCAGGCCAGAAAACTGGAGTGGGTGGCCTTTCCCTTCTCCAGGGGATCTTCCCAACCCAGGGATCAAACTGGGGTCTCCTGAATTGCAGGCAGATTCTTTACCAGCTGAGCCACAAGGGAAGCCAAAGGATACTGGAGTGGGTAACCTATCCCTTCTCCAGCGGATCTTCCCAACCCAAGAATTGAACCAGGGTCTCCTGCATTGCAGGTGGATTCTTTACCAACTGAGCTATCAGGGAAGCCTCAGTTCCTTCTTAAGGACTATATTATATTCTGAGCCATATCCTGTGAGCTGTCTTATAGATACTGAAACCCTCACCACATGGGAGAAGTTAACTACATTATGACCAGATCGTAACCATGACATAAGCTGCCACAGTTCTGAGAATTGGCCTCAAGGAAATGGGAACAAACGGGTCAGACAAGCTATACTTAAAACAATCAAGATGACTCTGGTCAGACCACCAATGACCAATTTCAAGATGACTGTCAAGCTGACTGTACTGTTTCTACACGTAGCCTGCTTCTCTCAGTCTATAAAAGCTCTAGCCCATTGATTGTCGGGGGAATGGGGAGGAGTCAGCCTTTGGAGAAGAGTCTGCCCACTCCCCCGGTTGCTGGCATCCAAAATAAAGCAAACTTTCCTTTCCACCAACCTTGCCTCTTTATTGGCTTTTGAGCAACGAGCAGCTGGACCCCACTTTTGGTTACACTCTGACTAGGCCAGAGCACAAAAACCCCACAAAGTTTTGGTCTAAGAATAAGTCCCATTCTACTGAGGTGGCTCTCACTTGGGTTTACTGTTGCTGCCAGTGAGCAGTACAGAGGCTACACATAGAACCAGGGCTCCATGATGGAGAATGAAGCCATTCTCTACGCCAACCCAGGCCTCCCTTCTTCTCAGGCCATGCCCACACATCTCAGTCCCAGCACCTTTATCACACTGAGTGAAAAGACTCAGCATGTGGAGAGAAAGGTTTGCCACCTCAGAGGAGTGCTCATTCCCCAGGGCTCTTTGTTAGGTTTATAATGCCTTGATTCTGGGTTCATAACTTCCTGTGACACCATGGATACTGAACTTAGCTCCTCCCACGTGGTAACTTGTTTGCCATTGGGCCTAGTCAAGGGTTCAGTGCAACAGGCAAGCTAAGTCTCCCCCACAGGTTTTGTTGGGAACCAAAACATCTGAATCATTTTAGAATCTCTAAAAGCTCAGTTTTTCACCTTGTCCACTGTGGTTTGTAGGAGAATGGAGGGATAACCCCCACCCCACTACCAGCCTGGGAGTGTTGAACTCTTGTCATATAATTTTGCAAATGTGTATCAGGCAAGGTAGGGAAGGTCAGCTTCTGACTCCCCTTGGCCTGAAAAGACAGTCCAGAGCCCTGATGAAGACAGAAGCACTTCCCACTTGCAAAGGATCTTACTGAGAAAGCAGGAAGACCAAGCAGGTGACTTTAAAGAGCAAGGAGAGGGAACTTGAGCCAAGGCTCTCTACTCCTGCTGCCTCCATGCTGGGTGGGACCACACCTTGTAGCAAATGGACAGGTGTCAGGGTAGATCTGGAACTGGGTAAAGATGCTGAATATAAACAAAAAGGATAAAAGAGACTGCCAATTCAGGACACTGAATTCTGCTGCCTCGAGAGGAACTTTAATGTTCCAGCCATGTTTAGCTTATCAAACCTGGTTGGAGCAAAAGCCCTAGCATCCACTCACTCCATCAGAAACAAGTCTGAATAAGCCGGGCACTGTCCATCAGATAGCCATGCATTTTGACAGTTCAGTTCTGACCACAAGCCAAATGGAAATTGAGAACTCCAAGTCATCCATCATGCTTTAGCCATGCATGAAGTCAATATCCTGTCTTTGAGAAGCACACAAAAGACCGTTTGAGTAGGAAAGTCCCACCAAATCCTGCTGAAACACATAGCCCGCATTTGGATCCTCTTTCTGAACAGTGTCTTGATTTGGAAGGCACAGCTATTGCTGAGATCCCTGAATACAGTATGCTGTTCTCTGTGGAAGTGAGGGTAGATTAGTGAGGTTAACTTGAGATGCACTAAAGCCCTCCAGACTGCCCCTTTCCCCAGATAGCCAGACTGCTGGCAGTCAGATGCTGGTGTTTGCCATAGTATCCATGTCTGCTAGCCAGTGGGCAAAGCTGGGTGGTAGCTGAACTTTTCATAGGACTTTAGGAATGTCAACACCCGCCTTGGGAGTTTGGTTCCATTGAACCAAGGCACGGACAGACTCTACTTCACACGGGGGAGTTCTCTTAGGAATCAGCACTCAGCACTCCTGTTTTCTAGAAGGATGATGATTCGGAGAAGTCGCCTTCTCTGACTCAACCCCCAGAAGCATGGTTTTTAGTGAGTCCCATGAAACATGAGACATGGACCAAGGACAAAATCAGAATCAGGTTTATGCCTCTAACAGCTGTAGTTTTAAAATTGTTTCAGATTGCAGAAGTTCAGGCAACAACTGCAGATTAATTCCTTGTTCTTGGGATGAGAGGTGATGGGTGCAAATACAATGGAAACACAACTGCCGTGACTATTTTCTATGTCCGTAAATCCCAAGTCCTGTCTTGGGTTCTGTGAAATTAGTAACCTGTTACAACCTAGCTAAACAGAATACACGGAGTTAGGTACCCCAAACCCCTATGACTTTGCAAAGTCAGACTAATATTTTCTCTTAAAGATGCCCCAGTCTCTTGGGGTTCTAAGAGACCTTAAAGTTATCTAGTCTCTATACAGGAATGGCATGGTCCTCCAATATAACTCCTCATTTGTGTGTCCAGACAATTGGACAGATTGCTTTATTAAGGACGAACATGTTTTAAAGGCTTTTGATACACACTGACAAATTGCTCTCCAATAAAGCTCCAAGCAGGGGACCAGCAGTATCTGAAAGACTACAATGCAAGTTTAGGATCTTCACTAATGTGAAAGTGAAAGTCATTTAGTCGTGTCCGACTCTTTGCGACCCCATGAGCTGTAGCCTACCAGGCTCCTCTGTCCATGGCATTCCCTAGGCCGGAATACTGGAGTGAGTAGCCATTCCTTTCTCCAGGGTATCTTCCCAGTGC